CCGGGGGGAGCCTCGGCTTTCTTGCCTCGCTGCCGGGCGATCCTCTTCCCAAAGGGGCCGGGCCCTTGAGCCTCGCCTAGCCCCTCTCGTTCCTGCTCCACCCGGCCACTGGGTGCGCAAGCAGAACCGGCGCTCAATCATTCTCCGCGTTCGATCCCTTCCTCATGACCGGCTCCCTTTCCTGATCCCCCAGCGCTCTCCTCTCCCCAATCCGCGGGTGGGCCAAGGGGCGGAGCCGCCGCGCCTGGCCCGCTTTGGGTCCGGAGGCGTGTCTGAAGACCCCAGCGTGCGCACCAAAAGTCGCCTCTTCTCCTGACTTTCTCTTCAGCCATTGGACCAAGAGAGAGAGAGAGAGAGCCCCTCCGGCTGGAGGTATCTCCCACCTCCGCTCCCTCCTTTGTTTTTGCGCCTACCTTCAGGAAAGGTGGGCATCTCCACCTCTCTCTCTCTCTCTCTCCTGGTCCCAATGGCTGAGGAGAAAGTCAGGAGAAGAGGTGACTTTTGGTGCACACGCCGGGTCTTCAGGCACGCCTCCGGACCCAAAGCGGGCCAGGCAAGGGAGCAAATGCTGCAAGGTGAACTATTACTGGGATGTATAGTTCATCTACAATCAAAGAGCATTCTGAACTCCACCAATGATGGAATTGAACCAAATATGGCACACAGAACTCCCACGACAAACAGAAAATATATATCAATGATTGGTTGGGGGGGGGCAAAATACTGTTTGCTTACCGTTGAAAATTGCCTAGGGCCACCTCTGCTTGGCACACAGAATTCCCATGACCCACTGAACCTACTGGAGGGATTTGAGGGGACTGACCCACTATGGTGGGATCTGTAGTCTATCTTGCAGCCAATGATGCATCTAGAACAGACATGGGCAAACTTCAGCCTTCCAGGAGTCCAAAATACCTGGAGGACCGAAGTTTGCCCATGCCTGATATAGAGCAAGCTTGCCCAGAGTGCTCTTTGATTGCAAGTGAACTATAAATCCCAGTACCTATAACGGCCATAAATCAAGGTGAATTCCCACCAAACCCCTCCAGTATTTTCAGGAGTTGGAATAATGTGAGTTGTAGTTCACCTACAACCTTGTGTATTTGGAAAAATTAAAAAAAATGCCAGGTACCCAAGCTAGTGTGTGTATGTATATGTGTGCGTGTGTGTATATATACACACACACATATATAATACACACACACATATAACATATATATAAAACACACACACACACACACACATATATATATATATAATTAAAATGTATTAAAATGATTGGCAAGGCCAAATAAATACACAAGATGCATATATCCCTTTGCATTTGCATACCCAAGGTTTTGCTTTTTGCAAGAGCCAACATGCTGCAAAGGCCAGCCTGGGAATCAGGTTTGCATTATTAATACTATTCTCCCTGTTTGACCTGTTTCTCGGCCTCGGTTTTCCTCGCCTGCGAAATGGGCCTGTTCACCACCTCCACTGAATGAAGAAAGGCATCTTATGCATCAAAACAAGAGGGAAGGATGGAATGGGTCAATCCCTAAGTAAGCCAAGAGTGACCTTTCCCATCACCTCCTGAGTCAAAGGGGAGGAATCGTGCAAGTCAAGGGCAAAACCCAGGCATTTCCTTCTCTCTCTCTCTCTCTCTCTTTCGTAAAAGCACCTAAGACATTAATTTTCTGCATTAATTAACCCCCCTGAAGGAAGTGAGTTAGGAGGTGAGTAAATCTCATTTGGAAAACAAGAGGAATCCTGCGTGTAGAAAGCCGCCTTTGGAATTGGAAGAGGAAAAGGGGAAAGATGGAGGGAATGGAGAAGTGGGAAAAGGAGGGAGGAAAGGCTTCTGCAAGGAAATATTTACAAACCCAGCAAACAACAAAGCCGATAAGAGGGAGGGAATACATGTAATAAATGCATAGGAATGCGTCTAGACTGGAGAATTAATCCCACAGGTACATGCAACACAATCTTGGGATTTGTAGTTTTGCTAAGGATGTATCTATACTGTAGATTAATTAAAGGAATCCTAGAATTTGTAGTTTTGCTAAGAATGTATCTATACTGTAGATTAATTAAAGGAATCCTGGGATTTGTAGTTTTGCTATGGATGCATCTATACTGTAGATTAATTAAAGGAATCCTGGGAGTTGTAGTTTTGCTAAGGATGCATCTATACTGTAGATTCATTAAAGGAATCCTGGGATTTGTAGTTTTGCTAAGGATGCATCTATACTGTAGATTAATTAAAGGACTCCTGAGATTTGTAGTTTTGCTATAGATGCATCTATACTGTAGATTAATTAAAGGACTCCTGGGATTTGTAGTTTTGCTATGGATGCATCTATACTGTAGATTAATTAAAGGAATCCTGGGATTTGTAGTTTTGCTAAGGATGTATCTATACTGTAGATTAATTAAAGGAATTCTGGGATTTGTAGTTTTGCTAAGGATGCATCTATACTGTAGATTAATTAAAGGAGTCCTAGGATTTGTAGTTCTGCTAAGGATGCATCTATGCTGTAGATGAATTAAAGGAATCCTGGGGTTTGTAGTTTTGCTAAGGATGCATCTATACCAGGGGTAGGGAACCTTTGGCCCTCCAGCTGTGGTGGACTTCAACTCCCACAATTCCTTGAGGCTCGGCATTGGGCCAAGGTAAGCCTTTGGGGCGAATGCCGAGCCTCAAGGAATTGTGGGAGTTGAAGTCCACCACAGCTGGAGGGCCAAAGGTTCCCTACCCCTGATCTATACTGTAGATTAATTAAAGGAATCCTGGGATTTGTAGTTTTGCTAAGGATGCATCTATACTGTAGATTAATTAAAGGAATCCTGGGATTTGTAGTTTTGCTAAGGATGTATCTCTACTGTAGAGTAATTAAAGGAATCCTGAGATTTGTAGTTTTGCTAAGGATGTATCTCTACTGTAGAGTAATTAAAGGAATCCTGGGATTTGTAGTTTTGCTAAGGATGCATCTATACTGTAGAGTAATTAAAGGAATCCTGGGATTTGTAGTTTTGCTAAGGATGCATCTATACTGTAGATTAATTAAAGGAATCCTGGGATTTGTAGTTTTGCTAAGGATGTATCCATACTGTAGATTAATTAAAGGAGTCCTGGGATTTGTAGTTTTGCTAAGAATGCATCTATACTGTAGATTAATTAATGCAGTTTGATCCCACTTTGACTGCTATGGCTCAATGCTATGGAATCATGGGATTTGTAGTTTGGTTAGGGTCATTCACCAGCCCTATTTGGGGGAAAAAGGATCAAGACCTTGGGTTGTTGTAGGTTTTTTTGGGCTATATGGCCATGGTCTAGAGGCATTCTCTCCTGACGTTTCGCCTGCATCTATGGCAAGCATCCTCAGAGGTAGGAGACCTTGCAGCTTTGAAATTCTTTGGAAGCTTTTAAACAGAGGCTGGATGGCCATCTGTCAGGGGTGATTTGAATGCAATATTCCTTCTTCTTGGCAGAATGGGGTTGGACTGGATGGCCCATGAGGTCTCTTCCAACTCTTTGATTCTATGATTCTATGATATTCAGCATTGTTGAGAAGTACGTCTCCGTCCTGAGTCCCCTTGGAGAGATAGAATCATAGAATCAAAGAGTTGGAAGAGACCTCATGGGCCATTCAGTCCAACCCCATTCTGCCAAGAAGCAGGAATATTGCATTCAAATCACCCCTGACAGATGGCCATCCAGCCTCTGTTTAAAAGCTTCCAAAGAAGGAGCCTCCACCACACTCCGGGGCAGAGAGTTCCCTGCTGAACGGCTCTCACAGTCAGGAAGTTCTTCCTAATGTTCAGATGGAATCTCCTCTCTTGTAGTTTGAAGCCATTGTTCTGTGTCCTAGTCTCCAAGGCAGCAGAAAACAAGCTTGCTCCCTCCTCCCTGTGCCTTCCTCTCACATATTTATACATGGCTATCATATCTCCTCTCAGCCTTCTCTTCTTCAGGCTAAACATGCCCAGCTCTTTAAGCCACTCCTCATAGGGCTTGTTCTCCAGACCCTTGATCATTTTAGTCGCCCCCCTCTGGACACATTCCAGCTTGTCAATATCTCTCTTGAATTGTGGTGCCCAGAATTGGACACAATATTCCAGGTGTGGTCTAACCAAAGCAGAATTGGCCAGCTTGATTAGAATTGAATAGCTTTGCAGCTTCAAAGCCTGGCTGCTTCCTGCCTGAACATTCCACAGATATACAAACCCCACTTGCCTAATTTCCAGCCTACATCACAACCTCTGAGGATGCCTGGCATAGATGTGGGCGAAACGTCAGGAGAGAATGCTTCCACAATGTGGCCAGACAGCCCAAAAAACTCTCAGCAACCCAAATAAAATGTTATTGAAAGAGCAAGGAAAGCAAAACTGTACGGTGGGGAAAAATCCATGCATCAAGGGCGGTCGAATTATGGAGAAATCGTCCTTTGCTTGCAAATCCAATACGTGACTAATGGTTTACTCAGACAGTAAATAAAAGGGAAAATGTCAAATAGGAAGGAAAGAGAAAACTGGAGAACTGAGCAATAATAATAATAATAATAATAATAATATAACATAATATAATATGTAAACAAAGACAACAAGAAAGCATGAGATACTATGGAAGTCAATGGGGGAGAAATGTGATATTTTTGATAAATAATATAATACAATATGTAAACAAAGACAACAACAAAGAGAAAGATCCACATACGGAGTGGCATGAGATACTATGGAAGTGAATGGCAGAAAAATGTGTTATCTTTGGTAGTTTAATGCGCATTGATATAGTTTGTACTTAGTTTATATTATCCCCTATATGGCTTAAATATAGATATATTTCAAAAATAAACACGGAAAGGAAAAGATCGGAAGCGAAGGAGAAAAGAAAGGGGGGAAAAAACCGCAAAGGAATAAAATAAACAAGAAAGAGGAAGGATATTATGGGATGGGGGCACCCTTTAAAAACTGCCCCCATCCCATTATACCTGTCACCTGTCTTTGTTGACACTCACCTGTGTGAAGGGATCTATGGCTCTGGCTTTATGGAATCCTTTCTTTCTTTCTTTTCTTCCTTCTTTCTTTCTTTCCTTCCTTACTGCTTCCCTTTCCTTCTTGGCCAGGTATGGCTCCGCCCCCTTTCTACCTGGTGACAACTCACCTGGGCGGGACAGGTAGGAAGGAAGGAGGGGTAAAGTTCCCCAGTGGGCGTGGCCAAAGGGTTATTAAATCATTAAGACCCTCCCACAAGAGGGTGATGACGTTTCAGGTCCTGGGTTCGAATTTCTCACCTGGAAAACTCAGGTATTGCTATAAGGCAGGTATAGGCAAACTTGGGCCCTCCAGGTGTTTTGGACTTCAACTCCCACAATTCCTAACAGCCGGTAGGCTGTTAGGAATTGTGGGAGTTGAAGTCCAAAACACCTGGAGGGCCCAAGTTTGCCATACCTGATATAAGGTATTCCTATTATTATTGTTATTATTATTTTGGTAGACACTTTTCCTCCAGCTATTTACAGTCATTAAGCAATTTGACAACTCTTTATCTCACCTTTGGGATTTGCAGTTTAGGTAAGTACTAAGAGCCCCCTGCCAAAGAATTTGGAACTACAAATCCCAACGCTCAGTAGGATACCAGGTTATGCCAGAATTACATGATGACACACTATTATTACACAACTGGAGCATGTTGGCAACTTGGTATAATGGTGATTGTGGAAGATTAGCTATTGGCAGTGACACTGAAGGTGCTTCACAGTCATATCTCAAATGTAAATAATTCTAGGCATCTCAGGAAACTACAAATCCCAGGACTCCATAGGAAGCTCTTGAGAGAGTGGAAGCAGTTGCCAATATGCTCCAGTTGTGCAATAATAATGTGTCATCGTGTAATTCCGGCATAACCTGAGTAGTGAAAATTCATTCTGAAACTATAAATCCCAGGATTCTGTAAGAGGCTGTTGGCAGTGACACTGAAAGTGCTTCACAGTCATATCTCAAAAGTAAATAATTCTAGGTATCTCAGGAAACTACAAATCCCAGGGCTCCATAGGAGGCTCTTGTGAGAGTGGAAGCAGTTGCCAACATGCTCCAGTTGTGTAGTAATAGTGTGTCATCATGTAATTCCGGCATAACCTGAGTAGTGAAAATTCATTCTGAAACTATAAATCCCAGGATTCTGTAGGAGGGAGTCATATTGGTGCAGTGTGACAGTGGCAATGAGGGTGCTTCAAAGGCATACTTCAAAAGTAAATAATTCTAGTTTCCCTCATGAAACTATAAATCCCAGGATTTGGTAGTGCTAAACTGCATCGCATGCCAAGGCTGCACCCTTAACAGAACTATAAATCCCAGGATTTGGTAGTGCTAAAGCTGCATAGTGTGACAGTGCCAAAGCTGCACCCTCAAAGAGCTTTGGGATTTGTAATTTTCATTCTGTAGGATTGTAGCCAATTGATGGCCCTTTTAACTGTCATTGGGAATCTTGGGATTTGTAGTTCCAACAGAGGTGCTAAGAGTTCCCAGCCAGAGAATTCAGAAAGCTTTGCAAAACTACAAATCCCAGGGCTTTACAGGTTAGAGCTCTAAGATATAGTGGTCATCCATGAAATGTAATCTTGGGATTTATAGTTTGGAGAGTCACCAACGATCTTTATTCTGTAGGATTGTAGCCAATTGATGGCCCTTTTGACTGTCCTTGGAGATCTTGGGATTTGTAGTTCTGATAGAGGTGCTAAGAGCTCCCAGCCAGATGATTCAGAATGCCTTGCAAAACTACAAAGCCCAGTGCTACGCAGGATACAGCTCTGGAATATAGTGGTCATCGATGCAATGTAATCATTTCTGGAGGGCCGCACCCAGAAGGTGTTATTGGGGGACACCTGTTCAACACCACAGCCTTTGACTTGTGGGGTTCCACAGGGCTCTGTACTGTCCCCCATGCTGTTTAATATCTACATGAAGCCGCTGGGTGAGATCATCCGGAGTTTCGGGGTGCGGTGTCATCTGTACGCAGATGATGTCCAACTCTGTCACTCCTTCCCACCTGCTACTAAGGAGGCTGTCCAGGTCCTGAACCGGTGCCTGGCCGCTGTAATGGTCTGGATGAGGGCGAACAAATTGAAGTTGAATCCAGACAAGACAGAGGTACTCCTGGTCAGTCGCAAGGCCGAACAGGGTATAGGGTTACAGCCTGTGCTGGATGGGGTCGCACTCCCCTTGAAGGCACAGGTTCGCAGCTTGGGTGTGATCCTGGATTCATCTTGAGCCTGGATCCCCAGGTTTCAGCGGTGACCAGGGGAGCATTTGCACAGCTCAGGCTCGTGCGCCAGCTGCGCCCGTACCTCGGGAAGTCTGACTTGGCCACGGTAGTACACGCTCTGGTCACATCCCGCCTTGACTACTGCAACGCTCTCTACGTGGGGCTGCCCTTGAAGACGGCCCGGAAGCTCCAGCTAGTCCAGCGCGCGGCAGCCATGTTACTAACAGGAGCGGGACGCAGGGAGCACACAACTCCCTTGTTGTTCCAGCTCCATTGGCTGCCGATCTGCTACCGGGCCCAATTCAAGGTGCTGGTGCTGGCCTACAAAGCCCTAAACGGTTCCGGCCCAAAATACCTGTCTGACCGCATCTCGGCCTATGAGCCCACGAGGACCTTGAGATCGTCTGGGGAGGCCCTTCTCTCGATCCCGCCTGCCTCACAGGCACGCCTGGCGGGGACGAGGGATAGGGCCTTCTCGGTGGTGGCCCCCCGGCTGTGGAACACCCTCCCTGTAGACATCAGACAGGCGCCCTCCCTTATGACATTCCGCAAGAGCCTAAAGACATGGTTATTTGAGAAGGCGTTTGACTAAGTGCTACAACAATTGGCAATGATGATCGGAACGGAATATGGATAACGAGTTTGGTATATGATTCTACGATGAGACGGCGCGGATGATTTAGTGTAATTGTATTATTGATAGTTATGTTGATTTTGTTGTGATATTGCCTATTGTAAACTGTTTTTATATGTTGTACACCGCCGTGAGTCGCCCTAGGGCTGAGAACGGCGGTCAACAAATGCCGTAAATAAATAAATAATAAATAAATAATCTTGGGATTTATAGTTTGGAGAGTCATCGATGCTCTATGGAAGCGAAAGCTAAAGACCTTGTAAAACTACAATTCCTATTATTCCATAGGTCTGGACCATGGCAGTTAAAGTAGAAGGGTAAAGTGTAGATGCACCCAGGGATGCTGCAAGAGTTGGACTAGATGACCATCCATGCAATGTAATCTTGGGATTTATAGTTTGGCGAGTCACCGATGCTCTATGGAAGCGAAAGCTAAAGACCTTGTAAAACTACAATTCCTATTATTCCATAGGTCTGGACCATGGCAGTTAAAGTGGAAGGGTAAAGTAGATGCACCCAGGGATGTTGCAAGGGTTGGACTAGATGGCCTTGAGAGAGGCCATCCAGCTCTATGAGCCATAGTGGTGCCCGCTTGTGGTAGTTTACACAATTGCAGCATTTCCAAATAAGTTATGACCACACCTTCCCCAAATGTGGGAACCCCATGGCTTCCCCTTGTGCAATTATCTGGGTGAACTCATCAAGGCTTTGATTGCGGATTAAAAATAGCGCTTTCCTTAATTAAAACCACCCACTTGAGCTTTTCCCATGGAGCCTGGGGGGGAAATGAGACTCAGAGTCAATGGGGAGCTCCCAGAGGTCATCTAGTCCAGCCTGGAATTTACAGCAGTATCATTCTGGGGAGATATAGGCGCTTGCTAAATCGTTATTGTAATGACTTCCTAACATTTACTCTTCAGTGTATAGAACTGTGGAGCAGGAAGGGATCTCCTAGAGTCATCTAGTTCAACCTCTGACGGTGCAAAGCCTCCAGACCTAAAGAAATGGACAGGAAAGGGGCTCTGAAGGTCATCTAGTCCGGTTCCTGATGGAGCAAAGCCTCCAGAACTGAAGCAATGGGTTGGAAGGGGACTCTAAAGGTCATCTAGTCCAACCCCTGATGGTGCAAAGTCTCCAGAGCCAAAACAGTGCGACGTAGCCATCTAGTCCAGTCTCTGATGGAGCAAAGCCTCAAGAACTATAGAAGTGGGTTGGAAGGGGACTCTTAAGGTAATCTAGTCCAACCCCTGGTGGTGCAAAGCCTCCAGAGCTAAAGAAATGGACAGGAAAGGGGCTCGGAAGGTCATCTAGTCCGGTTCCTGATGGAGCAAAGCCTCCAGAGCTAAAGAAGTGGTCAGGAAAGGGGCTCTGAAGGTCATCTAGTCCGGTTCCTGGTGGAGCAAAGCCTCCAGAGCTAAAGAAGTGGACAGGAAAGGGACTCTGAAGGTCATCTAGTCCGGTTCCTGGTGGAGCAAAGCCTCCAGAGCTAAAGAAGTGGACAGGAAAGGGGCTCTGAAGGTCATCTAGTCCGGTTCCTGGTGGAGCAAAGCCTCCAGAACTGAAGCAATGGGTTGGAAGGGGACTCTAAAGGTCATGTAGTCCAACCCCTGATGGTGCAAAGCCTCCAGAACTAAAGAAATTGATAGGAAAGGGACTCTTAAGGTCATCTAGTCCAACCCCTGATGGAGCAAAGCCTCCAGAACTGAAGCAGTGGGTTGGAAGGGGACTCTTAAGGTCATCTAGTCCAACCCTGATGGAGCAAAGACTCCAGAGCTAAAGCAGTGAGTAGGAAGGGGACTCCTAAGGTCATCTAGTCCAGTCCATGATGGAGCAAAGCCTCCGGAACTAAAACAGTGGGTTGGAAGGGGACTCTTAAGGTCATCTAGTCCAGTCCATGATGGTGCAAAGCCTCCAGAGCTAAAGAAATGGATAGGAAGGGGACTCTGAAGGTCATCTAGTCCAGTTCCTGATGGTGCAAAGCCTCCAGAACTAAAGAAATGAATAGAAAGGGGACTCTTAAGGTCATCTAGTCCAGTCCCTGATGGAGCAAAGCCTCCAGAACTGAAGCAGTGGGTTGGAAGGGGACCATTAAGGTCATCTAGTCCAACGCTGATGGAGCAAAGACTCTGGAGCTAAAGCAGTGAGTAGGAAGGGGACTCCTAAGGTCATCTAGTCCAGTCCCTGATGGTGCAGCCTCCAGAGCTAAAGAAATGGATAGGATAGGGGCCCTTAAGGTCATCTATTCCAGTCCCTGATGGAGCAAAGCCTCCAGAGCTAAAGAAATTGATGGGAAAGGGTCTCTTAAGGTCATCTAGTCCAACCCTTGATGGTGCAAAGCCTCCAGAGCTAAAGAAATGGATAGGAAAGGGTCTATTAAGATCATCTAGTCCAGTCACCAATGGTGCAAAGCTACCAGAACTAAAGAAATTGATAGGAAATGGACTCTTAAGGTCATCTAGTCCAACCCCTGATGGTGCAAAGCTTTCAGAGCCAAAGAAATGGATAGGAAAGGGGCTCTTAAGGTCATCTAGTCCAGTCCCTGGTGGAGCAAAGTCTCCAGAACCAAAGCAGTGAGTAGGAAGGGGCCTCTTAAGGTCATCTAGTCCAATGCTTGATGGTGCAAAGTCTACGGAGCTAAAGCAGATGGTTGGATGGAGACTCTGAAGATCATCTAGTCCAACCCCTGATGATGCAAAGCCTCCAGAGCTAAAGCAGTGAGTAGGAAAGGGACTCCTAAGGTCATCTAGTCCAACCCCTGATGGTGCAAGTGTCCAAAGGTAAAGCAGTGAGTAGGAAAGGGCTTCTTAAGGTCATCTAGTCCAACCCCTGATGGTGCAAAGACTCCAGAACCAAAAGAATGAGAAGTGGCCATTCAACATCTCTTTCAAGGCAATCTTTTGTATGCAGTTTTAGTTTAATGACAGTTGCAATTGATTTCATTTTATTTTATTTAAAACATTTATTTACAATATTGTTTCTTAAATTATTTTTGGACAGTTAACTGAAAGTCTATGATACACAGGGATTATGGAACTGACCACTGCCTCTGATATGCTTTCCTTGCATATTTTGACCAAAGAAGGGCATTGTCTCTGTTGTTTTTGTTGCAGGATTCGTGTCATTCAAGTGATTGTGTTCCAGTCTCCGAACGGAGCCAAAATCTGGAATTGCAAAAGGAAATCCCGCCTGTCAGCAAAACCGGTTTATTACAAGTCGGATTTGGCTATGATTCACCACACACACACACACACACACACACAAGTCATGTGCCCCAAAAGTGTCTGCAAAACAGCAGAAACCACCATATACTGAGTTAGAATGTAACTATTCTATAGATTTAATGCACCTTGACACCACTTTAATTGCCAGGACTCAATGCTAATGGAGTCCTGGGAGTTGTAGTTGTGTAAAGCCTTTGACCTTCTCTGCCATGGAAGGCTGGTTCCTCCCCAAACTACAACTCCCAGGATCCCATAGCATTGAGCCTTTGTTGTTGTTGTTGTCCCCTGTGGGGTGAGAAGGGTGGAATATAAATATTGTAAATAAATAAATAAAATAAAATATTTATGTACAATTGTCTATCTTGTCTGTGTATAAACAGCATTGAATGTTTGCCATATATATATGTTCTCTGACCCACCCTGAGTCCCCTTCAGGGTGAGAAGGGCGGAATATAAATACTGTAAACAAACAAACAAATTATTGTATTGTCAAAGGCTTTCATGGCTGGAATCACTGGGTTGTTGTAGGTTTTTTTCGGGCTACATGGCCATGTTCTAAAGGCATTTTCTCCTGACGTTTCGCCTGCATCTATGGCAAGCATCCTCAGAGGTAGTGAAGTCTGTTGGAACTAGGGACCACCAAACACAGCATTGCCCAAACACGCATCAAGGAACATGAAAGGCACTGCAGACTCCTTCAACCAGAAAAGTCAGCCATAGCAGAGCACCTGATGAACCAACCTGGACACAGCAGATTATTTGAAAACACAGAAATGCTGGACCACTCTCACAACCACCATGTCAGACTACACAGAGAAGCCACTGAAATCCACAAGAAGCATGTGGACAATTTCAACAGAAAGGAGGAAACAATGAAAATGAACAAAATCTGTCTACCAGTATTAAAAACTCTAAAATTAGAACGACAGAGAGGAAACAAACAAAGACATCTAATCACCTCTCAACAAAAGATTGCTCCAGGCACTGCCAAGCAATCAAATGCTAATCAAGGTGATCAGTTGAAACATTCACACCTAGCTCCAGCAGACAAGAGTCCTTTGTCCCACCCTGGTCTTTCCACAGATATATAAACCCTCTTTCCTAGTTCCAACAGACCTCACTACCTCTGAGGATGCTTGCCATAGATGCAGGCGAAACGTCAGGAGAGAATGCCTCTAGAACATGGCCATTTAGCCCGAAAAAACCTATAACAACCCAGTGATTCCGGCCATGAAAGCCTTCGACAATACATTACCTGTCTTGTCTGTGTATAAACAGCATTGAATATCTGCCATATTTGTATTTTCTCTGATCCACCCTGCGTCCCCTTCAGGGTGAGAAGGGCGGAATATAAATACTGTAAACATATAAACAAATTACCCTTTTTATATAAACCCCTTTTTTCCCAGCTCCAGCAGACCTCTGAGGAAGCTTGCCATAGATGCAGGCGAAACGTCAGGAGAAATGCCTCTAGAACATGGCCATATAGCCCGAAAAAACCCACAAGAACTGAGTGATTCCGGCCATGAAAGCCTTCGACAATATAAACAAATTATTATTATTATTATTATTATTATTATTATTATTATTATTATATTCAGGCTTTACCTTAAAGGGCAGTCCTAATATTATTTTACTAGTAATAGTAGTATATTTTAGGACATAATTACTATTGTTATTATAATCATGACATTCAATAATAATAATAATAATAATAATAATAATAATAATCTAAATGAGTCTAAAGGGTCCAGATTTAGTAATGGGAAAGTCATCCATAGGAAGGATATAAGTCCAATATGGTTCTCTTCATAGATAGATTATTTATCCGAGGAATGAAGACAATTCCTTTTTTGCAAACAGATTGGGGATTATGAGTCTTGTGATCCAAACCATCAGCTCTGGCATTTTTCCCCTCTCTAATTTATTCTTGACATATCAAGAACCATTATCCAGATGGGACTTCCCTACACAGCATTGAACAATTATTATTATTATTATTATTATTATTATTATTATTATTATTATTATAGCGTTCGGCAGCCAGGTTGCTAACAGGAGCGGCACTCAGGGAGCACACCACTCCTCTGTTGAGCCAGCTCCACTGGCTGCCAATCTGCTACCGGGCACAATTCAAGGTGCTGGCGTTAGCCTACAAAGCCCTAAACGGTTCCGGCCCCACTTACCTCTCCGAACGCATCTCCACCTATGAACCAGCTAGGATGTTAAGATCTTCCGGGGTGGCCCTGCTCTCGGTCCCGCCTGCATCACAGGCACGGTTGGCGGGGACGAGAGACAGGGCCTTCTCGGTGGTGGCCCCTCGGCTATGGAATGCCCTACCCATTGACATCAGACAGGCCCCTTCGCTGCTGGCGTTTCGGAAGAAGGTTAAAACCTGGCTCTTTGAGCAAGCGTTTGGCTAATCAATGCAATTGAACATAGGAAGATGGTAAATTGAACATAGGAATGGCACAAGGATTATGAGAATGGATTTTGCTTTGTTATCGAGGCATCATGAATTGATAATAATTGTGTATTTTGTTATTGTGTATGATGTGTTTTAACTGTTATTGTTGTGATAAATTACATTGTGTAAACCGCACTGAGTCGCCTAATTAGGCTGAGAAACGCGGTATAGAAATAAAGCAAATATTATTATTATTATTATTATTATTATTATTATTATTATTATTCCTCTCTATGGAGTCCTCCAGTTTCTATTATTATTATTATTATTATTATTATTCCTCTCTATGGAGTCCTCCAGTTTCTATTATTATTATTATTATTATTATTATTATTATTATTATTATTATTCTTCCTCTCTATGGAGTCCTCCAGTTTCTATTATTATTATTATTATTATTATTATTATTATTATTATTATTATTCCTCTCTATGGAGTCCTCCAGTTCTTCTATTATTATTATTATTATTATTATTATTATTATTATTATTATTCCTCTCTATGGAATCCTCCAGTTCTTCTTCTATTATTATTATTATTATTATTATTATTATTATTATTATTATTCCTCTCTATGGAGTCCTCCAGTTCTATTATTACTATTATTATTATTATTATTATTCCTCTCTATGGAATCCTCCAGTTCTTCTTCTATTATTATTATTATTATTATTATTATTCCTCTCTATGGAGTCCTCCAGTTCTATTATTATTATTATTATTATTATTCCTCTCTATGGAGTCCTCCAGTTCTTCTTCTATTATTATTATTATTATTATTATTATTATTATTATTATTATTATTATTCCTCTCTATGGAGTCCTCCAGTTCTATTATTATTATTATTATTATTGTTATTATTATTATTATTATTATTATTATTATTATTATTATTATTATTAGATGTCCTGTTAACTTGATGTATCATACCTACATTAATCCTGAGTCAGAAATCTCTGAAATATCTAAAAGTTTTCCTTCCTCAGCTCATCCCTTTCCTGTCAGTTCCTCCCTTTTCTTACTCACATCCTCTGCAGAATAATAATAATCACCTTTGGGGACTACAGCACTCAGCAGCCCCCAGTTAACGTGGTCATGGGGGGATACTGGGAGTTGTAGTGCTTTGTTATAGCACTCTCCAATGTATCACTTACTCCACAGCACATGAAACCAATCCGAGGATGAAGAAGGAACCGGAAATGGAGCCCACGATCATGACCACCCTTATCAGGCCTTTTCGCTCTGCAGGGAAAGAGAAAAGGGGATCATATCTGTGGCTGGATGGTCATCTGTTGGGAAGGATCAGATGATGTCTTCCTGCCTGGCAGAGGTGGGGTGGACTGTATGACCTTTGGGGATCTCTAGGATAGATATATCATAGAATATAATGTATCTTATCTATTGTATCCATGACTGGATGGTCATCTGTTGGGAGGGATCAGATGGTGTCTTCCTGTCTGGCATAAAGGGGGTAGACGGGATGACCTTTGGGTGTCCCTTCTGACTCTAGGAGTCTATGATAGATATATATCATAGAATATAGTGCAGCTAGCTATCATATCTATGGCTGGATGGCCATCTGTTGGGAGGGATCAGATGATATCTTCCTACCTGGCAGAAGTGGGGTGGACTGCATGACCTTTGGGAATCTCTAGGATAGATATATCATAGAATATAATGTATCTTATCTATCGTATCCATGACTGGATGGTCATCTGTCGGGAGGGATCAGATGGTGTCTTCCTGTCTAGCAGAAAGGGGGTAGACAAGATGACCTTTGGGTGAACTCAATTGATTTTAGGAGTCCCTTCTATCTCTAGGAATCTATGATAGATAGATATAATAGAATATAGTGCATCTATCTATCATATCTATAGCTGGATGGCCATCTGTTGGGAGGGATTAGATGATATCTTCCTGCCTGGCAGAAGTGGGGTGGACTGCATGACCTTTGGGAAACACTAGGATAGATATATCATAGAATATAATGTATCTATCTATTGTATCCATGACTGGATGGTCATCTGTTGGGAGGGATCGGATGGTGTCTTCCTGTCTGGCAGAAGCAGGTGGACTCAATGGATTTTAGGAGTCCCTTCTATCTCTAGGAATCTATGATAGATAGATATCATAGAATATAGTGCATCTATCTATCATATCTATGGCTGGATGGCCATCTGTTGGTAGAGATCATATGATGTCTTCCTGTATGGCAGAAGCAGGTGGACTGGATGGCCTTTAGGAGTCCCTTCTATCTCTAGAATTCTATGATAGATATATATAATAGAATATAGTGCATCTATCGGATATATGGTTGGATGGTCATCTGTTGGGAGGGATGATATGATGTCTTCCTGTATGGTAGAAGCAGGTGGACTGGATGGCCTTTAGGAGTCCCTTCTATCTCTAGGATTCTATGATAGATATATCATAGCATATAGTTATCTATCATATCTATGGCTGGATGATTGTCTGTTAGGAGGGATCAGATGGTGTCTTCCTGCCTGGCAGAAAGGGGGTTGGACTGGATGGCCTCCAATTCTATGATTCTAGGGGTCAAATTTCAGATTTTAGGGGTGCGAAGCCAGCCTCTTACGTGGGTAGCAGGTTTTCGAATCCCAGCAAGGTATTTCCGCCCGGCGACAGGTGGAGCAGTTGAAGATGGAGGTGGATGCCTCTGCAAAGGGCAAATGGGGAAAGGTTAGGGCAGGCATGGGCCAACTTGGGCCCTCCAGGTGTTTTGGACTTCAACTCCCACAATTCCTAACAGCCTACTGGCTGTTAGGAATTGTGGGAGTTGAAGTCCAAAACACCTGGAGGGCCCAAGTTGGCCCATGCCTGCGTTAGGATCTGGGCTGCTTAAAATTGGAAATGCCTCTAGGGGTGCATCTACACTGAAGAATTAACACAGTTTGGCCCCACTTTAACTACCATGGCTGAATGCTAAGACACCCTGGGAGTTGTAGTTTCGCCTCCTCTGCCCAAAAAAGGGCGGACGCCTCACTAAACTACAAAACCCAGGATTCCATAGCAATGAACCATTGCAAATAAAGGATTATCAAATTGCATTAATTAATTCTACAGTGTAAATGCATCCTGATTTATGCTATACTAGCTGTGCCCTGCCACGCGTTGCTGTGGCCTATAGTAAAACTTATCAAAGTTGAGGTAGATATCTGGACTATTATGAAAGAGAGGTCCCTACCTATTCCTTCCCCCTTTTCCTCCCCTTTCTCTCCTTTCTTCCTTCTCTACCTCTTTCTTTCTTTCACTACTTGGTTTCATCCTTCTCTCTTTCCTTCATTCCCTCCCCCTTTCTTCCTTTGCCTTTCTTCCCTCCCTGTTTGCTTCCTTCTTTCACTTTTTATTTCCTTTTATTTTACCACCATCATAACAATAACAATAATGCAATGCATTGCCTCTGGGACCTGACACCTCTCCCATTCCTCCAGGGTCTCATAGGAACAATAGCATAATAATAATAATAATAATAATAATAATAATAATAATAATAATAATACTAATAATAGAAATAACAACCTTTACCCGCCACGTGTTGCTGTGGCCAATCTTCCCTCTTTCTCTCCTTCTTTCCCTCCTTCCTTCCCTCCCATCTTTCCTTCTCCTCTTTCCTCTTCTTTCTCTATTTCTTTCCTTCCTTCCCCCTTTTTCTTTCTTTTCTGCTGTCTCTCTTTTCTTTCCTTCCATCTTTCCTTTTCTTTCCTTTTCTTCTTCCTTCTTTTTCTAACTTTCCTTCCTTCCCCCTTTCTCTTTACCTCCCTTTCTCTTTCTTCCTTCTTTCCTTCCTTCCTGTCTTTCCTAGATTTTGACAGGGCGGGAAGGGGCGGGGGGGGGTTTGGAGGTGGCGTGAAGTAAAAGGAGGTAAGATTGGGGTGGGGGAGTGATGGAGCATGGGGTTGTGTGTGTGTGCGCGGGGGGGAGTGATGGAGCGTGGGGTTGCGTGTGTGTGTGGGCGGGGGGGAGTGATGGAGCGTGGGGTTGCGTGTGTGTGTGTGGCGGCGGCGGGGGGAGTGGGGGTGCGTGTGTGCGTGCGGCGGCGGGGGAGTGGAGCGTGGGGTTGCGTGTGTGCGGCGGTGCGGCGGGGGGGAGTGGGGTTGCGTGTGTGCGTGCGGCAGCGGGGGAGTGATGGGAGTCTGGGGTTGCGTGTGTGTGTGCGGCGGTGGGGGGAGTGGGGTTGCGTGTGTGTGTGTGCGGCGGCGGGGGGAGTGATGGAGTGTGGGGTTGTGTGTGTGTGTGCGGCAGGGGTGTGTGTGTGTGCGGGAAGCAGCGCGGTGGGGCTTGGAGTGGGCATGGTTTCCGCAGAGGGAACGTTGGCCGGAAGGGCATGTGCGTGCGCCAGGGAACTTGCGGCTGGGCGCCAATGCGCATGCTCAGTTGTTTTGCCGTTTTGTGAGTGTGTTGTTGTGTTGTTTTTCATTTAGATTAGATACGTTTGTACCTTGTGGGTTGTGTTATGGGCATGGGAATTTTGGTTAAGTTTTGTTGGGGGATTTTTGAGTTTTGTTGTTTTGCCGTTTTGTGAGTGTGTTGTTGTGTTGTTTTTCATTTTGAGTAGATATGTTTGTACCTTGTGGGTTGTGTTATGGGCATGGGAATTTTGGTTAAGTTTCGTTGGGGGGTTTTTGAGTTTTGTTTCCTCGTTGGATGCCCCTAACAAATTTATATATATAGATTTTTGCATTCAGGAAGAATGTAAGGCCAATGAGAATGGTACATCCAAATTTGAAAAGCAAGGCTGATAATACTATTGAGTCTTTCATCATTTTGCATCTCATATACACACACACACATACACACATACATATATGCATACATACACTAGCTGTACCCGCCACGCATTGCTGTGGCAAAGCTTCCTTTCCTCTTTCTCCTCCTTCTTTCTTTCACTCCTTCTTTCCCTCCATCTTTCCTTCCTTCCCTTTTTCTTTCCCCTCTTCTTTCTTCCTTCTCTACCTGTTTCTTTTCTCGCTTCCTTTGCTCTTTGGTTCCTTCCTTCCTTCCCTCTTTCTCTCTTTGGTTCCTTCTCTTCTTCCTTCCCTCTTTCACTTTTTTATTTCCTTCTCTCCTTCCTTCCTTCTCTACCTTTCTTTCCTTCTCTCCTCCCCTCTCTCCTTCCTTCCTTCTCTGCCCTTCTTTTCTTCTTTCTCTCCTTCCCTCTTTCTTTCCCTCTTTCTCTCCCCCCTCTCTCCTTCCTTCCTTCTCTGCCCTTCTTTTCTTCTTTCTCTCCTTCCCTCTTTCTTTCCCTCTTTCTCTCCCCCCTCTCTCCTTCCTTCCTTCTCTGCCCTTCTTTTCTTCTTTCTCTCCTTCTCTTCTTCTTTCCCTCTTTCTCTCCTCTCTCTCCCTTCCTTCCTTCTCTACCCTTCTTTCTTCCTTCTCTCCTTCCCTCCTTCTTTCCCTCTTTCTCTCCCTCCTCTCCTTCTCTCCTCTCTTTCCTTCTCTACCCTTCTTTCTTTCCTTCTTTCCTCCTTCCCTCCTTCTTTCTCTCTTCTTTCCCTCTTTCTCTCCCTCCTTCCTCCTTCCTTCTCTACCCTCCTTTCTTTCCTTCTTTTCTCTCTTTCCCTCCTTTCCTCCCCCTCTTTCTCTCCCTCTCTCCCACCTTCTCTCCTTCCTTCCTTCTCTCCTTCTTTCTTTTCCCTTCTTTCTCTCCTTCCCTCCTTCTTTCCTCTTTCTTTCCCTCTTTCTCTCCTTTCCTCCTTCTCTCCTCTTTCTTTCCTTCTTTCTTTCCCTCCTTTCCCTCTTTCTCTCCCTCCTCTCCCACCTTCTCTCCTTCCTTCCTTCTCTACTCTTCTTTCTTTCCTTCTTTCTCTCCTTCCCTCCTTCTTTCCCTCTTTCCCTCCTCTCCCTCCTTCTCTCCCTCCTATCTTATCTACTGTTCTTTGTCTCTTTCCCTCCTTCTTTCTCTCCTTCTCCTCCTTCTTTCCCTCTTTCTCTCCTTCCTTCTCTCCTTCCTTCCTTTTCTATCTTTCTTTCTTTCCTTCTTCTCTCCTTCCCTCCTTCTTTCTCTTTCTCTCTCTCCTCCTCTCCTTCCTTTCTTTACCCTTCTTTCTTTCCTTCCTTCTCTCCTTCCTCCTTCTCCTCCTTCTTTCCCTTCTCTCCCTCTTCTCTTCCTTCCTTCCTTCTCTACCCTTCTTTCTTTCCTTCTTTCTCTCCTTCCCTCCTTCTTTCTCTCTTTCTCTCCCTCCTCTCCCTCCTTCTCTCCTTCCTTCTCTATCTTTCTTTCCTTCCCTCCTTCTTTCCCTCTTTCTTTCCCTCCTTCTCTCCTTCCTTCTCCACCCTTCTTTCTTTCCTTCCTTCTCTCCTTCCCTCCTTCTTTCCCTCCTTCTTCCTTCCTCCTTCTTTCCTTCCCCCTTTCTGTGTATGTGTTTTGTGTGTGTGTGTGCATATGTGTGATTGTGTATATATATATGTGGTTTTGCACATGTGTTGTAATTTATTTTTGGCTTTTTAAGTCCCTTCTGTTATGTTTTTCAGTGTTTTTATGAGTGAAGGTTGACTGGACTGACCTTGAAGGAGCTGGGGGTGGTGACGGCTGACAGGGAGCTCTGGCGTGGGCTGGTCCATGAGGTCACGAAAAGTCGGAGACGACTGAACGAATGAACAATAACAACAATAAATCAATTGTAAAGTGCAGCCCACTGTCGGAATACATTTCCTTGTGTGTGCCGTGGCTTTGAGTGAAGGTTACTCGTTGGCCTGATTGTTGTCTTGTGTCCAAATTTGGTGTCAATTCGTCCAGTGGTTTTTGAAGTTATGCTAATCCCACAAATGAACATTACATTTTTATTTATATAGACACACACACACAAACACGCACACAAACATACACACAACAACAACAACAACAACCATCATCATCATCCCTTTCCATCTCCATAAACTTACGGCAGGTAGGAGGACACAGAGCTGCAAGAAAAACAACAAAAAGGGTGTGAAATGATTCATGTTCAAGAATCATTCCCTTTGCACATGCTCAGAGGCACTTTCTCTCTCTCCCCTCCACCCAATGCCCTAAAAAGATCCAGGGTTGGATTCTGTTACTATATAGATAATGACTTTGGGTCCAAATTGCAACTCCGGACTGATTCTGGTATTCTTTGTCCGCTTACCTTCTCTGCTCTTCTCCGGCAATTTGGTTTCATGCAGCCAATTCCAAAACTTTGGAAAGTCAATGAGACTTTGGTTTATTTCTAGGAGAAATAAACAAAAATAAATAAAACCTGATTTCTAACCAGTAGGACAGCTCCTAAATTGGACCAAATCTAACTTACCAATAACTCTAAAGACTCGATGCGCTAAATTGAATTAGATTACACTTACCAATAACTCTAAAGACTCGATGCGCTTTTTCCAGGAGCATATCCAGCGATGCCTCGTCTGTGAACGGAGATTGAAAGGAGCTGCACAAACAATCTCAAGCGGAGCGACCACATTATTGTTACTATTACTATTATTATGTTTATTATTATTTGGAACACAACAAGATGAGTCCACAGCAGACAAGATCACTCTGCTGGCTGTTGTATTGGATCACACATCAGACACTTCTCAAGGAAGTGTGTGATGTATCGGCGAATGATGTGCACAGATCCCAGTAAGGTGGCCTTTTGCAACTGGCAGATGGTAATTTTGTCAGCACCGATTGTGTTTAAGTGCAGGCCAAGGTCTTTAGGCACTGCACCCAATGTGCCGATGACCACTGGGACCCCCTTGACTGGCTTGTGCCAGAGTCTTTGCAGTTCAATCTTTAAATCCTCATATCAGCTTTTCCAGTTGTTTCTCTTCAATCCTGCTCTCACCTGGGATTGTGACATCGACAAACCATATTTTGTTTTTTAACATGATCATGAGGTCAGGAGTCTTGTGCTCCAGAACTCTGTCTGTCTGAATCCGGAAGTCCCAGAGGAGTTTGACGTATTCATTTTCTGTAACTTTTCCCAGCTTGTGATCCCACCAGTTCTTTGTCACAGGAAGATGGTGTTTGTGGCACAGGTTCCAATGAATCAGCACATATGGACAGAGAGATAGATTTAAAAAGTATTTGTCTATCTATCTGTCTATCTATCTATCTGTCACCTTGGTCTCTCTTATCTATCTATTACCTTTCACTCTCTCCTATCTTTCTGTCTATCTATCTATTGGACAAGTCTGAAACAAGCAGCTATCTATCATCTATCAACTATTACCTCTCTCTCTTATCTATCTTATCTATTGATCAATCACCTTTCTTTCATCTATCTATCACCTTTCTCTTTGCTCTCTAGCTGTCTGTCTGTCAATCATCTATCTATTACTTTAATCTCTCTTTATCTATCACCTTTGTTCTATCTACTATGTGTCTGTCTGTCTGTCTGTCTGTCTGTCTGTCTATCTATCTATCTATCTATCTATCTATCTAATCATCTCTTTCTCCTATCTATCTGTCTGTCTGTCTATCTATCTATCTATCTATCTATCTATCCTAACTATCTGTCATCTATCTATCTATCTATCATCTATCTATCTATCTATCTATCTATCTATCTATCTATCTATCTATCACCTTTCTCTCTCCTATCTATCTATCTATCTATCTATCTATCTATCTATCTATCTATTCTATCACTTTTCACTCTTATCTTTCTATCTATAACCTTTCTCTCTCTCCTATCTATCTGTCATCTGTCTGTCTGTCTATCATCTATCTATCTATCTATCTATCTATCTATCTATCTATCTATCTATCTATCACCTTTCACTCTGTTCTATCTACTATCTGTCTCTGTCTGTCTGTCTGTCTGTCTGTCTTTCTGCCTGCCTGTCTTTCTGCCTGCCTGCCTGCCTATCTATCTCTCTCTCATCTTGTCTTTATCTATCTACTCTCATCTATCTATCTATCTATCTATCTATCTATCTATCTATCTATCTATCTATCTATCCCTTCTCTCATTCTCCTATCTATCTATCTATCTATCTATCTATCTATCTATCTATCTATCTATCTATCTATCTATCTATCTATCTATCTATCTATCTATCTATGTCTGTCTGTCTATCTATCTATCTATCTATCTATCTATCTATCTATCTATCTATCATCTATCTATCTATCATCTATCTATCTATCTATCTATCTATCTATCTATCTATCTATCTATCACCTTTCTCTCTCGCCTATCTATCTATCTATCTATCTATCTATCTATCTATCTATCTCTATCTATCTATCTATCTATCTATCTATCTATCTATCTATCACTATCCATCCATCCATCCATCCATCCATCCATCCATCCATCCATCCATCTATCTATCTATCTATCTATCTATCTATCTATCTACCAACACCTTTCTCTCACATGCATACATGCATCCATCCCTCCATCTTAGTGGAGGTTGGACTGGATGAGTCTTGTGGTCTCTTTCAATTCTATCTATCTTTCTTTCTTTCTTTCTTTCTTTCTTTCTTTCTTTCTTTCTTTCTTTCTATCCATCCATCCTTCTTTCATTCTCACTCACTTTCATCTATTTTTCTATCAGTCTGCACGAATTCCACCATACTGACGCACCCAAAATCAAGGGGCTTTGTTAACTAAAACATGCATCTGCATTGTCACATTAATGCAGTTTGACACCCCCTTAACTGCTATGGCTTCATGCTATGAGTTCCTGCAAGTTGAGTTGTGGTTTGGCAAAGCCCCAGTAAGACTATACCTTGTGAAACTATAATGGAACTAGAGGAGGCATGGGCCAACTTTGGCCTTCCCTCCAGCTGTTTTGGACTTCAACTCCCACAATACCTAACAGCCGGTAGGCTGTTAGGAATTGTGGGAGTTGAAGTCCAAAACAGCTGGAGGGAAGGCCAAAGTTGGCCCATGCCTGGGCTAGAACTTTTACATCTTGAGGTTCCCCTTTGGGACAACTTCCCACCTAAAGCGAAGCCTTGGACGGCCTTCCATCCCCAGGGGTATTTGGTGCAGTTGGCCCGGGGGTATTGCTTCTGGAACTGAGCGCAGAGACGTACATAGCGGGCCCTCAGGTTCTTGAACTCTGCCCCACAATTCAGGCACCCCTCTGCCTGTTGGGGGACCCCAAAGTGGGCCAGGATTAGGAGCATCGGGGCCAGAATTTGCAAGAAGACCCCCACAGAGCCAGAGCCAGCCATGGGACATCATCAGAAGATGATGGGGACCACCTTTCTAGTATATGGCATTCTAGATTCGTTCCAGAACATTCATTCATTCATTCATTTATTCCCGGGTTCTAAGCAGTTGCCATGACAGACAAACAAGATTCTATTGAGGCGAGTGTGGACTTTCCTATCTGTTGACTTTCCATTGTGTTTATCGCAGAGCTATGTATAAATACATATTTTTCCTGGCAATCGCTTCCATAAATATTTATACCTGCCTATGCGAAAAACAAGAACGGGAAAATATGATATAAGCAACGTGTCTTGACTTGTGCTTCTTTCGGTGGTTCAAGATGAAACGTCTTCAGTCATTTTTTCCAACCATAAATATTCGTATACATTATATACATGTTGCAATACAGGCATACATATATATTATGTGTTTATGCACATATATAAATATATGTATGTATGCACGTTTCTGTATCTATCTCATGGTTTCAGTGTAGGACTACGATTCTGGAGATCTGGATTCGAATCCCAGCTCAGCCATAGAAACCTATTGGATGACCTTTGATATTTATTTATAGTGTCAGGAGGGAATCAAAACAGTTGTATTGCATTAAAAAAGCAGACAAACAAACAAACAAAACACAGAATTTGCATACTTGGCATTCTATTAAATGTCCTTTGACCAGTATCTGGCCCCTTGGAGTGCCTCTGGTGTTCCCGCAAGGAGGTCCTCCCTTGTGCATGTGACAGGGCTCAGGGTGCATTGCAGCAGGTGGTCAGTGGTTTGCTCTTCTCCACACTCGCATGTCGTGGATTCCACTTTGTGGCCCCATTTCTTGAGGTTGGCTCTGCATCTCGTGGTGCCAGAGCGCAGCCTGTTCAGTGCCTTCCAAGTTGCCCAACTTTCCAAGTTGCCCAGGGGGGAGTCTTTCATTTGGTATCAGCCATTGGTTGAGGTTCTAGGTTTGAGCCTGCCACTTTTGGACTCTCGCTTGCTGGGGTGTTCCAGCGAGTGTCTCTGTAGATCTTAGAAAACTATTTTTTGATTTAAGACATTGACATGCTGGCTGATACCCAAATAGGTCCTTTCACTATTGGCTGCTACTTCCCGGTGGATGTCAGTTGGTGCAATACCTAGACTGTGTAATTTCTCCAGTGGTGTAGGGCACAGACACCCCGTGATAATGCGGCATATGTCATTGAAAACCACATCCACTGTTTTAGCATGGTGAGATGTGTTCCACACCGGACATGCATACTCAGTAGAAGAGTAGCATAGCGCAAGGGCAGATGTCTTCACTGTGTCTGGTTGTGATCCCCAGGTTGTGCCACTCAGTTTTCGTAGGATATTATTTCTAGCGCCTACTTTTTGCTTGATATTCAGGCTGTGCTTCTTGCAGGTAAGAGCACGGTCCAGAGTGACTCCCAGGTATTTGGGTGTGCTGCAATGCTCCAGTGGGATTCCTTCCCAGGTAATCCTCAGAGCTTGGGATGCTTGTCTGTTCTTAAGGTGAAAAGCACACGTCTGTGTTTTAGATGGATTAGGGATCAGCTGGTTTTCCCTCTAATAGGCAGGAAGAGCACCTAGAGCTTCGGAGAGCTTCTGTTCAACCATCTCAAAGCTCACTGCTTGAGCGGTAATGGCACGATCATCAGAACAGATGATGCTATTATGCTATTATGTGTTTATGTGCATATATAAATATATGTATGTATGCAAGTTTCTGTATCTATCTCATGGTTTCAGTGTAGGACTATGATTCTGGAGATCTGGATTCAATTTCCAGCTCAGCCATAGAAACCTATTGTATGACCTTTGATGAGTCACACTCTCTCAGCCTCACAGAAAGGCTTGCCAAGAAAACCCCATTGTGAGTAAGTTGTAAATGCTGACTGAAACTAAACGAAGGAATGATTCATCCCAAAAATGAGACATGAAGATATCAACTCTCTAATATTTACACCAAGCCTACAGCAAGTGAATCATCCAGGAGGGATCGCCTCTGAGCATGTGCAGACTTACCCACTTTGGCCATATAAAAATGATAAAAGTAGAGCCAATAAACCAACCAATGCCACAGCTACAAGGCCGCTTTCAAGCCAGAGTTTAGTTAAGTTTCCTTCTTTTGGACTAAGCTCCCAAAAATCTTCCTACAGCCTGCCAGCAAGGCCAGGGATTATGGGAGTTGTGGTACAAAAAGCTCTGTTTTAAATGGTACTAAGCATTACTTCTTGGGAGGAGAGCAATGTCCAATCTCGATAAAATAGTAAAGAGTAGAGACATCAGAATGGCAACAAAGATCCGCCTAGTCAAAGCCATGGTCTTCCCTGTAGTCACCTACGGATGTGAGAGCTGGACCTTAGGGAAGGTTGAGTGAAGGAAGAGAGATGCTTTTGAGCTGTGGTGCTGGAGGAAAGTTCTGAGAGTGCCTTGGACTGCGAGAAGATCCAACCAGTCCATCCTCCAGGAAATAAAGCCCGGCTGCTCACTGGAGGGAAGGAGACTAGAGACAAAGTGGAAGTCCTTTGGCCACATCATGAGGAGACAGCAAAGCCTAGAGAAGACAATGATGCTGGGGAAAGTGGAAGGCAAAAGGAAGAGGGGCCGACCAAGGGCAAGATGGATGGATGGCATCCTTGAAGTGACTGGACTTTCTTCAAGGACTGACCTTGAAGGAGCTGGGGGTGGGGACGGCCGACAGGGAGCTCTGGCGTGGACTGGTCCATGAAGTCACGAAGAGTCGGAGACGACTGAACGAATGAACAACAACAAAGCATATAGTGGAATGGAGGTTAATGTATTGTCGAAGGCTTTCATGGCCGGAATCACTGGGGTGTTGTAGGTTTTTTCGGGCTATATAGCCATGTTCTAAAGCAGGGGTCCACAAACCTTTTAGAGGGCCAGGTCACAGTCCCTCAAACTGTTGGAAGGTCAGATTATAATTTGAAGAAAAGTGGAATGAATTCCTATGCACACCGCACATATCTTATTGTGCTGTCGCACGCTGGGCCTGTGCATGAGACTGCAGACAGGACATAAATTCCATGTGCCCAACGGGATGCCGGGGCTGCCTCAGATTAAAGGCCCTTGGATTTCCTTAAAACACAGTCTTTAGATTGCTTAAAGGTTCAACAATGTTCTTTATTAATGAAAACAAACAGGTACTTTCAAGCTTTCTTAACAGTCTATTGGCTCTTGCAATCTTGTTCACTGGGATCAGGCACTATCTTCTTAACTGTATACTAACTAATGGGGAAATCCTTAACTTCTAATCTGGGCAGTCTGTCTTTGCCTCTGTTGGCGTGGAGCCCCTGCACCTGGTACCAACTGCTTCTGGCTTCCGCGAGCGACCCTTACCAAGCAGAGCTTTGGTAAGAGCAGTGCTTCCTCTTCATCTTGGAAAGAAGTGACAAGTGGAGTGCCGCAGGGTTCCGTCCTGGGCCCGGTCCTGTTCAACATCTTTATTAATGACTTAGATGAAGGGCTAGAAGGCAGGATCATCAAGTTTGCAGACGACACCAAATTGGGAGGGAGAGCCAATAGTCCAGAGGACAGGAGCAGGATTCAAAACGATCTTGACAGATTAGAGAGATGGGCCAAAACTAACAAAATGAAGTTCAACAGTGACAAATGCAAGATACTCCACTTTGGCAGGAAAAACGAAATGCAAAGATACAGAATGGGGGACAATGCCTGGCTCGAGAGCAGTACGTGTGAAAAAGATCTTGGAGTCCTCGTGGACAACAAGTTAAACATGAGCCAACAATGTGATGTGGCGGCAAAAAAAGCCAATGGGATTTTGGCCTGCATCAATAGGAGCCTAGTGTCTAGATCTAGGGAAGTCATGCTCCCCCCTCTATTCTGCTTTGGTTAGACCACACCTGGAATATTGTGTCCAATTCTGGGCACCACAATTCAAGAGAGATATTGACAAGCTGGAATGTGTCCAGAGGAGGGCGACTAAAATGATCCAGGGTCTGGAGAACAAGCCCTATGAGGAGCGGCTTAAGGAGCTGGGCATGTTTAGCCTGAAGAAGAGAAGGCTGAGAGGAGATATGATAGCCATGTATAAATATGTGAGAGGAAGCCACAGGGAGGAGGGAGCAAGCTTGTTTTCTGCTTCCCTGGAGACTCGGACACGGAACAATGGCTTCAAACTACAAGAGAGGAGATTCCATCTGAACATGAGGAAGAACTTCCTGACTGTGAGAGCCGTTCAGCAGTGGAACTCTCTGCCCGGAGTCTGGTGGAGGCTCCTTCTTTGGAAGCTTTTAAACAGAGGCTGGATGGCCATCTGTCAGGGGTGATTTGAATGCAATATTCCTGCTTCTTGGCAGGGGGTTGGACTGGATGGCCCATGAGGTCTCTTCCAACTCTTTGATTCTATGATTCTATGACTTCCAGGGGAAATGAATTCAGGCTTCCGTGATGGCTGACTGAAGTCCTTCAGCAAAGGAGCCTTAGGGCTGTATAACCCCGGCCAAGCTGTAGAAGACGAAGCTTTCTACAGGAGTTCTTGGTATTATGTCGTGCATGGAAAGCTTCTCTGTGTGGACTGAACCAAAAAAGGCTCCTATTCCCTCCAAAAACCCAAAAAGGGGCGGGACCAGGGAACCTAACTATAATTGACAGGTGGCTTGCCCTATGATTGCAGCCAAAAAAAGCCACCTATCTGCAGAGTCCCTGAAACTTAGGACTATAACAAACATTAAATGCAAAGCAAACAAAATTGGAGCTCCTGGTACAGTTGTACCTGCACAACCTACAACAACCTATTAGTAATAAATGACCACATCTATCTATATAAATACTAGCTGTGCCCTGCCACGCGTTGCTGTGGCCTATAGTAAAACTTATCAAAGTTGAGGTAGATATCTGGACTATTATGAAAGAGAGGTACCTACCTATTCCTTCCCCCTTTTCCTCCCCCTTTCTCTCCTTTCTTCCTTCTCTACCTCTTTCTTTCTTTCACTACTTGGTTTCATCCTTCTCTCTTTCCTTCATTCCCTCCCCCTTTCTT